CGCGAACGGAAAGCTGGGATTTTCCGTGGGTGGAATAGTTCGTTATGGCAATCAGTGCATGTCACATCCCTCTTTTGGTTTGCCTGTTCTGTTTGCTTGCTTTTTGCTTGCCGTGGTCTTAGGAGTTTACGGAACACTTTTCTGAAAGCCGCTTCATTTGTTTTGGTTGTATTGTGGTCATTGACACAGAAGCAAACGATGAGTTTTGGTTCCCATTTCGTTGCTGAAGCACACGGCCAGGCTATTCTTCCGTGGAAAGCACAAGGAAAGTCGCGTCTACAGTTTGCATAGAAATCGGGCCATGGATATAGACATTATCAACGCGCGAAATAGCTGCATTTTACAAGATCGGCTGGGACAAACACGATTTTCTACCTTGCACTGAAACCTGTTTTTATTGGTTTTGGATGAGCAGGAGCCGAAAAGTCCTTTAATGGGCTCCTGCGATGCTGCATGAAGGCACGGCACAACAGTTAATGAAAAACAACTTCACCAGTTCGCACGGTTGCGGCCATTTTAACCCAGATTAAGGTGCTGCACCAAGATTGTGTCGCGGAAATGTTAATGCTAAGGTACCCGGTAAAGCCCAGAAGCTCGCGCTGGGATCTCTTTAGCTATTCAAAGGCATGGTAGAATGCACGTCTCCTACTGCTGAAGGCTAATGGGGTATTAGTTGCTGGGGAACTCGTACGATAGCTGCATCGTACGTTCAGCTGGGCTGCGTTTGCTAGTGGATGGAGTGTTCCGTGGCATTTGCTTTGCTGGCAATGACGCAGTGCCATGTGTGGCCAAGAATAGTTTGCTTTTCAATTGCGCGGCAGAGCCCATGGACCATTCGTTGCGTTCGGGGCTCGTCTCTTGGTGGCTCGATACTGCTTGTCAGTTGTTTCACGGTGCCCAGTTACATTAAGCGTGAGAGTCTGACGTCACGCTGTTGTTCCTGCCCCAAAATAGTTTCCGAGCACCATGAACTTTAATGTGCTAGTCAGCCGGGCAAAACTGTCCACCGGCGCGTGTAACGCTCATGGCAGCTTTTCGCGCTGTTCGCCGCGTTAGAGCCGTGAGGCGCAGTGCCCTTCTTGGGAAAACGCTATGTATGTATGTACTGCATCGTATGTTCAGCTGGGCTGCGTTTGCTAGTGGATGGAGTGTTCCGTGGCCAATGTCGCCTGGAGTGTGGCTAGTCCTGTGGCTGGTCCCTTGCCAATGTCGCCGGAAGTGTGGCTGGTCCCCAACGAATCGCGACACAGCCGCCGGTTGGGGAGAAATTTGGGCGGACAGGTGAATGCTGCCCGTTGTGAAGCGCGCCGTTCGAACGAAATCCCGACTCAATAGGTCGCATTCTTATTGCGCAATACTTGAAAGGCGAGTCAAAATCGCCGCCATTGACGTTTTGCAGAGAAAGCGCTCGGTGGCAAGCGCTCGTGACCGAAAGCCCGAATGGAGACCGCTATCTGCTGCAACCACGCGAGGTGTAACATGCAGTTGTTTGCTGTAGCAGATAGCGATAGTGAACTTCTGGTAGCTGCTAAACTTTACGCTGGTGAAGCGCTCTGTCCGATTGGACGTGCTCTGGACGCCTGTTTTCTGTGCTCTGTATAGCCATTGCAAGTGTCGTCGTCAATGACCTACCTCAAAAGCGTAGGAACCCGTGGGTAATGGCATCCAGTTGCAAAATTTCAGGTTTATTCCCATCACGTATAGAAAGAAGCGCCTGTGATATAAGTGATTTATATCTCGAGGTTAGGCGCCACTTTCATGACGGTGCTGCGTATTTGCATCTCCCTCTCCCCCCCCCGCCCCATTAATTTTGCCCGAGACTGTTAACTAAGTAATGTTGGCGATTAACCCATTATGTGGAGCCATGTCACTGCTAAGTCATGAGCCACGTCACTGCAAAGTTCTCCCTCTTTTGAAAATCGGAATGTCGCTCGTGGGAATCGAACCCACGTATTACTTGCGTCTCGAGCCGCCGCGTTCTTCACTCGCTCATCGAGGCTAAGCCGTCGTCTACGTCAGCCTCTGTGCCGCAGGGCCCTGGCCGGGACGTTCAGCGCAGACATTTTGCACTGCTTGAGACGGGGCGGGGTTTGACGCTGCTCCTAACCGTCATCACCGTGTGCACTAGCGATATGTTATCACGCGGTTTGCTGTCGGCAGAAGAAATGGGTATCGTACACTTGCCAAGGACTTTACTCTGAACTTGGGTTGGCCGCGGGCTGATGTGTGCATTTTAGCGGTGACTGCTCTCGGTCTGCGATAAGCTTGCTATCTCCGTGCCGCTATTTGCTCCTCGATCAATCGATCCTCAAACAATTTTCAATCGCGTTTAATGTTGCTAGTGGCTCAGTCTTAAATGGGTATATGGTCCCACCCCTGCTGTGAGAACCACACCCCGGGGGACAATTGCGGCTGAAATTGGCTCCAACTTTGATTGTCCCTCTCGTGCGTCGTCGATCAAAGGCCGGGGAGCCTCTGTACATTCATGTGATAATCTGGACGTCGCCGGGGCTCCATCGGAATTGAAAAGTGAAAATGCGCTGCGCCACGGTCTGGCGCGACGCTCATTTTCGTTTCCTGAGCGTGGCACTCACCGCGGAGAAACCTGGGCTTAGAAGAGTCGTGACGGGCCATCCCGACAGTGGCTGCACCGGCGGTCGCCGAGACCGCGCCGGCGCCGACGTGCCGGCAAATCAGCTATTTTAAATTCAAGGCTAGCCGGGCGCTGCCACGCCGCTGAAGATGGCTTCCGCGCTCTGTCCTCTCCGGCGCTCTACCCTCTCCGACGCTCTGCTCCCTTCGGCGCTCTGTCGCTCCGGTGCTCCGCCCCCTTCGACGCTCTGCCCTTTCCAGCGCTCTATCTTCCCCGGCGCTTTGCCCCCTCCCGGCGCCCTACCGCCCTCCGGCGCTTATCCCTGGCGTTCTGCCCCCTCCGGTGCTTCGCCCTCTCGACGCTCTGCCCTCTCCGGCGCTCTGTCCTCTTCAGCGCCATGCCCTCTCCGACGCTCTGCCACCTCCGGTGCTCTGTCCCAGTGCGCCTGTGGTTGCTGGCGGCCCGGCGGCCGCAGGACGAGCCGAGCGCTCCGGTGGCGCCGGCCCGCGGCGAGGCGCTCGGCCGACGGAGCGGCCCGTGAGTCGGCGGGGCGCCTCACCGCCAGTTCCCGTACCGTATGGGTACAGAAGTTTTCAAAGGCATCGGCGCTGGGCGCGTAACAGGTCGTTGGTTACGTGAGGTCCGTCCTCTGGCGTAAGCTGTTTGTCACGAGCAGGACTACGAGCTGGATTGCACCACTCTTGCACATCTCTTGGACAGATCGACTTAGAAACTTTCGTGTTCAGTTGTTACGACAGACTTTAAGACTAGTGGCCTTGTATGGCTCTTTGTTTGGCAGTTTGTTTTTTTTTTGTAGAGAGCGTTCGTTCCATTTAATCCTTGCCTTATGATCATGTTTTCAACGACCTCAGAAATAGTGATGCCCGCTTTCTGACGTTTCAATTGCAATGAATGTCACAAGGCCTGAACAGCTGTAGAGGCATGTCAGTCAATTGATTTCGAAGGGCATGGGGGGGGGGGGGGGGCAAGAAGACAAAATCTGAGGCGGGGAGGCAACCATGTTTTTAAAATGTGTACCTCCCTTAATTATCTACGGGCCTAATGTGGATTCCGGTTCGGTACGAAGCCGCGGAAAACGTGTCCCTGAGATGTATCACTAAGCGTAATTTCCCATGTTAATGCATGCGGAAAGTGTGCTCTAGTGTGGATTGTTATTATAACTGATCTTCAAATGTTTATTTTGTTTGTTGGTTGTGTCCAGCTATGTCCTGTTTCACCTGTCCCTGAAACCAGAAGATGCTTTCATTTTGATCACGCATCCCAGCCGGAGTCAAGCTGGGCCGCTTTTGGGCGCTGGTTGGAGTTTTGCCGGATCGGTCACTCTAAATGGCAGTCGGCGTGTGAGTGGCGAATGACACCAGCTTGGCGCCGCCGAAATGTCGCGCGCCGCCGTCCGGGTCGGCACAGCGTCACTCCTCGCCGCCTTTCCCCGGCCGGGACGAGGCCGCGGCGCCGCAATGCTGCCGCGCCCTCCGGCTGTGCTTGTGTGACCCTGCACTCCTCTGCCGCCGTCGCTGACGCTGCTGTCGCCTCTGTTGCAGATGATGCCCCCCTCGCCCACCTACTTCGGCGGCTCAGGGCTGGACAGCACGTCCAAGCCGCAGCCGCCGGCCCCCGGCTTCCCCTTCGTGCACCCGAGCGCATCGCGACGCCCCAGCGGACAGCCGACGCTGGGCGGTCTGGCCGGCCTCGGCCGCCAGTCGTCTAGCGCGGCCGACGTCAGCCTGGAGAGCCCACTCAGCCCCGCCGTCTCGCTGCCGCCGCCGGCCGCCGGCGCGCTCCACCGCCGCCTCGACCGCAGCCACAGCGAGCCGGTGGCAGAGCGCAAGCTGCCGCCGCAGAACTCGAGCCGCTACAAGACGGAGCTGTGCCGGCCGTTCGAGGAGAGCGGCCAGTGCAAGTATGGCGAGAAGTGCCAGTTCGCGCACGGAGCGCACGAGCTGCGCAACATGTCGCGCCACCCCAAGTACAAGACGGACCTGTGCCGGACGTTCCACACGACCGGCTACTGTCCGTACGGCGCGCGCTGCCACTTCGTCCACAACACGGACGAGCAGCGGCGGCCGCGCGCCGCGCTGAGCTCGGCCGGCGAGTCGCCCTCGCCCGGCTCCATGTCTGGCTCCAGCTCGCCCACCTCGATGCTCTTCCCGGACGAGGCGTACAAGTCGGTGCTGACGCCGAGCCCGGTGCCGCAGCCGTTCGCCGTGTTCCAGTTCCCGACGCAGCGCGAACTGGGACTGCTGCTGGCGCTGCCGTCCAGCCCCAGCCCCACCGACTCGCTGGCCTCCGACCTGGAGACGATGAGCCTGTCGTCGGCCGGCAGCGCTAGCGGAAGTCCGCCCAGCTGCTCACCGCTGGACCAGCCGCGCAACCTGCGGCTGCCCGTCTTCTCGCGCATGCGCAGGGAGGACGCGTTCGCGCTGTGATAGCCGGGCCGAAGAGCGGACCGCGGGCGGCGGCGGCGCGGCGCGCCGGGAGAGGCTGCGGCGGCCGACCTGACCTGGCCGGCGCCTGCCCGGCGGCCGGCGCCGCCACCCCGGCCCGGCCGGCGCCCAACATTGTGCCTTACTCACGGGACCAAGAGGGAGCGAGCGGATCGAGCCACGCCGGCGCTGTGACGTCACCGGAATACGCATGTGATGGACCCCGTTCGGCGACATTCGTACGGCGGGACGCGGTTGCACTTTAAATAGCTGTGAAGTGCCGTGGCTGGCACGAGTAGACGTTTATCCTCATAGAGAGTAGTTATTTGGTTTATTTTTAACAGAAAATTTGGGTAGCTTCAGTAGTGCCTACTAGTGTCGGGCGGCCCGACGCGTTCGTGATTAGTGGCGCGTGTGACCAGACCAGCCAGCCTCTCTGGGGGTATTAACATATTCATTCGCCCTGTCTTCGGCCAGCCGGGACTGCTCCAATGTCATTCATCCATATATCGTAATGCTTATATTTATGTCACACTTATTTATTTGTATCGAGCATCAGTTTAGTTACATTATAGATGTATCATTATTTATCAAGTCGTCCTGATTTTGTAATTTGTAATACACCTAGCGGAGCGGGCGCGCGACGGTGCTGGAGGCGCCGGGGCCTGTTTTGAGGCCGGGGCCTGTTGGCTGCGCGCACCGACAGAGCACCACTGACGTCGGGCAGGCCGAGTCGGTTTTACCAGCGGACACGGCTGAGACCCCTACTAACCGTACGCCTCGTTGGGCTCTCGTTTATTTCCGTTGAATGTTAACACTGACGTTCGCAGCACAGCTGCACCACCGGACCCGGCGTGACACTCGCGGGTTCGCCCAGGAATTTTATTTTGACGTTTGACCTTTCCGGCTGTTGGTGGGCGGCCGCGGGCGCCAGCCGGCGTCCGTGCCGTCGATCGTATGACGCATGGTGATGTGTTCGGCAAATACACGAGTGTTCGATGAACTGGACAAGTGTTGCTCGCAGCCACGAGCGGTGCGTCACGACTGAGAATGTATTCTTCTCGTTAAACACCACTAAAAGTGGTCGGTGGGAGCCGGCGACACTGCGGCTGGTCCACGACCCTGAACTGCCGCGGGAACCGAGGGGTTCCCCACTGCCGGAAGCCATGCATCAGACATGCATAGCAGCAGCGTGAAACATTTTGAACCGCAACGACGAGCTCCCTCGGCTTCGCAACAGGACAAATACAGTGCTGCAACGGATCAGGCCGGCGCAGCACAGGCACACGCCAGCTACAGCGGGGGTAGCAGAGCAGAGCCGTGCGGAGCGAGAGACCGCCGGCATGGGCGGCGGCGCCCCTGCTGCAGCGGCGGCGGCCGCGGTTGAGCAACAGCCGGAGCGGGAAGCGGAAGGCGACGAGCGAGGTCGCCGCGTAGGCCGGCGGCCGCTGGGGGAAGGAGCGGCCCTGAGAGGCGCCGCCCCGCCGCCGCCGCTGGCTACCGGCTACCGGCACGCCTCTCCTGCCGGCCTCCCGTACAGCCGCACAAAAACGGCCCGACTAGGCGCGGCCCCGGAGACGCGGCCACGTGACCCCCGCCGGAGAGGCCCCCGCCGCGCGTGACGGCGGCGGACGCTCGCGGTCCGGCCGGCCGCCATGATCGCGCGGCGCGGGTCACGTGACCGCTGTCGTCATCGCCGTGACGTCAGCGGACGCCGCGCTAGAAATGGCCCCCCGAGCGTCGCGGCGGCGTTCGCTGAAGAGCTGCGCACTCATGGCCAGGCTTCGGGAAGCGCCTGACCGGGGGGGGGGGGGGCGTGGGCGGATCCCACGCGAACCGCCGGCGCCGCGTCACCCCGCAGACAGTGTGGCGGCGGGGAGGGGGCGGAGGGGAGACCCCGGCCTACGCCTCCACGCTACGCTTGTCGCCGGTCGGACGGCGCGTGGCCGTACCCCTCATCCGGTGCCGAGCAGTGTTGTTTCGCGTCACTCCGTGTTGCATCAGCTCCCGCTGCCCACCGACCAGTGATCCCTGGGGGAGGGGGAGGGCGCCCCCGACTGGGCACGGCCAGCGCGGCCGCGGCTCGGCCTGCTCGCGGAAGTGTGCTGCCGGGCGGCGCGACACGCCACTGGCGGGCTCGCCCGGGCGGTGCGCGGCGGCGCTCGCGCACGGCCGGTCCTCCTGGCGTCCTGTACGCTTGCCGGCCGATCAGAAGATAGGCTAAGTCGCGGTCGTCGCGCTGGTTTCCCTTTTAAGAGCCGCATCTGCCGCCCGCCGGCCGCTGCAAGCCAGCGCTGCAGCAACCGGTCCGGGCATGAGCCCGATATCCTCTCCGGAGAAAAATGGGGGCCGAAAGTGTCCGGCCGCCGCGTGAGTCACGGCGCTGGCTCGGCGGTGCCGACGCTGACACCACGTCGCCGCGCCAAGCCCGCGTCGCTGCTGGTGTGCTCGGGCCGGGAGCTGCCACGGCGGTGCGGCTAGGCCCCTGGCACGCCGCCGCCGCCCGCCGCTGCCGCTGCCGCTGCCGCTGCCGCCGCTGCCGCCGCCGCCGCTGCCGGTCGCGTATTTTCAGGCAGTCGGACGGCGTGCCAAGGTTAACAGGACGCTCCCCTCCCCGCCGTCCGTGCCGGCACCCCGGCGGCCCAGCCGGCGTCCCGCCGTAATGAGGAACCGTTCTCAATGGACCCGGTGCTGGTGGCTGGGCTGCTGCGCGACGGCCCAGCAGCTGCGGACCGAGCGTTGCCCAGCCGCTGCGTGGGTGTGCCGCGCGGTGCGCCGGCGCGCTACAGGTGCCTAGGCGCCGTAGCACCGGCCGTCAAGGCTGCGTCACTACCTCGAGACTCATGCAGGGTATTAGGGTCGCCGTCAGAAATCGGTTTCATCGAGTTCGCAGAACCGCAATTCATGGAACGCACACGCGATACGTTGAGCTGTATGTTTCGGTACGCGTAAGAAACTCGCGGCAAGCGCCGCTGGCGTTCAGTTCGTGACTCTCAGCTAAGTCATTGTTGAGTTTTCGCAGGGCACCTCACGCTGTTTAGCAGACTTTTCAGAACAGCCTAGCTGGAAAAGACAATACGTCATTGGCTACGGGCTCAGGTGTTATCAGGTATGATAGGTGGTAGGGGCTGTATGACCATTCGCCGCTGACGCGCCCTTAAACTACAGAAAGCCGGTAGGGCAAGGCAAGGTCGACTTCGCAGCTTCCGCCGTGGGGGAACGCGATCCGATAATATTAAAGTAAAGTTAGCCATCAAAGTAAAAGCCAAACAAACACATTCCTCCGTATGAATGACATCACTGAGGGACGCTTATATAGCATGTGTGTATATCAATCGCATGATGCAACCACGGCTAGTTCATGGTTAATGCAAGATGGGATATGATGCAAGCCACCAAGGCCATGAGCTCCCGTATTTCAACATTAGGAGTCGGGAGTAATCTGACAACCATCCGCCTTCAACACACCGGGATGCGCTGATTAAATAACCTTGTCAAGCAAGCATGGACTATGTAGACGAAACTCGTTTCGAACTGAAGGTTGGAACAGTTTGGCTATAACGGCAAGCTTCGACGTCTCAGGCTGAAGCTGGGAACAGCCCGAATCACTGAGATTTGCAAATATAGCCGATATTTTATTGACAGTGTCGTTCAATCAGCGCCACACATGGCATACTGAAGGTCGATGATTACCAAAGTAAGAACTTATACCTCAAAAGATAGGGGCTTGATTGGTTTTGGCTGTCGACGATATCAGATAAATGAAGGGTGGCGGTTGCTTTGGGTTCAAAATACTGTCTGACCTCATATGGTAAAATAAATAAAAGTGCATCCCACACCTGAATGCAAGTTGGATCCAACC